TTGGCTATTTATGGATGTTTTTGGTGGCAAGAACAACCCAACACGCTGTTAATAAAGACAGGAGAGCTTCCGAGTCCTCGATGGCTTGGAGGATGACCCTCCTAGTAGCAACAGATGCAGCTTGCTGGGTATATTTTATTTCTATGTCTTGAGCTTAATTTTGATTGATATTTGAAAATTAGTTTAGGAGGACTTTTCAGGTACTATACCATAATCTCATAATACCATATCTTAAGGTGGAATAGTTGGTTGTGTAAATCAAATTTAAAGCGGGTGAAACCACTAGGCATAACTAATATTATATAAAGTGTTAATTTAAAGTGTGCATTGAGGGTTGACTGTTGTGAATAATTGAAGAGAAGAATGGTTGGGGTGATCAGTCACAGAAAATGAAAAAATAGATAAGTAAGTATATTTATTTTTGTCGATGTTTCAGCCCAAAGTTCATGCCTTCATTAGGGCTAAGAAAAGATCAGATAACAATAGGTATGAGAAACTATTAACATTAAAAAATTAAAAAGAAAAAATAATGTGTAGATGAAATGTATAGTATAAAAAATGTTGGTAGAATAAGCTTAAAGTAAAATAAATTTGGTCGAATAAACTTTAAGGAAATATAAAATAATGATAACAAAGTTAGGATTAGAAAGTAGTGGAAGAAAAGTTGGGGTATATAACATAACGGTAACAAAGTTAGGAAATTATGAATAAAATAATAACAGTAACAGATAACTATGGAATAAATAATAACGGTAACAAAGTAGGGAATAATGAAATATGGTAAAATAAGAAATGAATAACGTAAGTGTAGACATAAAATAAATGGAGTGACATAGTTACTAAAATATGATATCTTACTATGCTAAAAGCAGGTGAAATAATAGAATAAAATGTAAAACAGAGAAAAGGAATATGAAGTTATATAAAGAAAATAATAAATGGAAATGGAAAAAAATGAGATACTGTAAAATCTATCAAAACATACTGACTACGTATAAGAGAATGAAAAATTAAAATAATGTAAATAAGATGAAATGAGCAAATGTATCAATATACACAAAATAGAGGTATAATAGAAAATTAAGATAAAAAATATAGACACACCTGGTCAAACGAAAGATATGTAAATAAATATACTTATTTATTTTTACATTTTCTTTGACTGATCACCCCTGCCATTCTTCTCTTCTATTAATTAAAATATAATTTAAGGAGACTTTTTTTATTGAATTTTAAATTTTTAAAAACATTTTTATCAATTTTATAAAACCAAATAAAAATATATTGCTGTCTTGATCATAATAATGTTGTATGCTTTTGTTGAGAACATAATTGCTGTGAAATGTGGTATGCAGTAAATTTATGGTAATGGGAGGTCGTAGAAATCTTTAATCTCTATGACATTTTGTTTTCGAATGCATGTGACGGTCATAACACCTTTTACTGTTGATTGAATGAAATTTTCTGGAATTGTGGGGGTTGAAACCTTGATCATTTATCAATTTTTTCCTGCTTAAGCATCATTCCAAAAATAAAGCCATCACAGTTTTTAAAAAAAATATATTCCTCTATATCCTAACCATTCCTCAATAAATTACATCTGGTTTTATCACAATTTAAGAATTATTTTTCCAGCATAAGTTCTGCCATATATTAACATTATTTATACTATATATATATTATATTTATGATCGCATGTTATTATTTCAGGTTCCTATAATCATACTTGGGGTTGTTTCCTTGGCTGGTTTTACCGTTCCACCGCAGGTAAACTTATTCAGAATGCTGTTAAATTAATAACTTATGAGATAAGAGAAACTAAAATCTGAATTTATTTATTTATTTTAAATACGTGAATACAGGTGTTTGCTTGGGTTGCTGTGTTCATTCTCCCGTTGAATGCTGCCGTCAATCCCGTCCTTTACACTCTTTCGACGGCTCCTTTTCTTACTCCAGCCAGGCAAGGATTGTTCTCTTTTAGAAGGTCTTGTAAGCTCTCTATGTCTCAGGACAATAGAAGGACTTATATGTCAACTATTAACCATTATAACGGTTAGTATAGGTACAAAAGGAATGATTTTAATAAGTAAATTGTGACACACCGAGGCTTAAAATTTGAAGATATGGCACAATTTTTTTTTTTTTTTTATTATGTAATTTTCATTTCACAAATATCATAGAAGGATTATTATCATTTGTTAATTTATTATTATGAAAAAAAAATTTTTTATTCCAAAAGTTATGTTTTATTATCTATAAATTTATTCTAATTACTTGATTTAATTCTGAAGGTTTGAGAAAGAATTATTCTGTTTTATATACATATATATATGTGTATATAAACTTTTAAATATATGTGGTGTGATTATAAAAAGATTGATTCCAGACAGGGAATTAAGACCAAACATTTTTTTCTTGCTATGAGTACTTGATAGTTGACCGTTGTAAATAATTGACGAAGGAGATGGTCCAGGATGTCATCATAAAAAGACTTAAAATAGTTAAAAAATTATTTTATGTCAAACTGACATTTTGACCCATCTATTGGAGGTCTTCTTCAGGGCAGAATGAACAAGATAAAAAATATATAAAGAATTGTGGGAGTTACATGATAATTACAAACAGTATGAATAGAAATAATGTTATATATTTTCTATTCATACTATTTGTAATTTTCATTTTACTCACACTATTCTTTATATCTATTGTATGTTGTTTGTTCTAGCCCTGAAGAAGAGCTGCATAGTTTGAATGGAACGTTGGCTTGAAATAAAATAGTTTTTTCACTACTTTAAGTCTTTTTATGACCCCGGACCATCTCCTTTCTCAATTTACCTAGCCATATTTGACATAAGTGGAAGAAAAGGAGGAAGGGAAAACAACATATTCTAACCATAGTGGGAAGATCGAGATTCAGTCCATTGGCCTACCATAAAATAAATTGTAACCACACCTGGGCCAATATCCTAGTGAGAGACGACTCTTGCTACTCTTTATACAGCACATCCTTCGCCATCTCATCAAATCATCTTCATGACTGTCCTCGACTCAAAGTATAAGACAGAAATTCTCTTATGATGAGACATAATTGGTCGAACATGACAGAACTTTATTGAGCTACAAGAGATTTCATGACTGAAGAATTATGGCCATACTATGTAGGAGAAAAGAAAAATGGAGAAAGTATTCTGAAAGGCATAAAGTGAACATTGTGAAATTAAATTATTAATAGAGAACAGCATAAAAAGACCAGTTCTCGAAAGTCAATTGATGGTTATAGATTTATTGAAGAGAAGTTGGTTGGGGTTTTCAGTCTGTGAAAATATATTATAAATTATATCCTTTGTGCTGACATTTCGGCCTAAGTTTCAGACCCTCATGAGGGCTGTTCTCTCGAAAGGTTTCGAGCTGTTTGACAGCTGTTCCATTATTTCATTAGTCTCTAACTTTGCTGCCACCATTTTGTAAATGACAGCTTTGTTGAAGAGAAGTTGGTTAGGGCTTACAGTCAGTGAAAATGCAAATAAGGGTTCTCTCTATTGAATATGATATTTTATATAAATGAACTGCATTATTTTTTATTTATTATATATATTTCTTATATAAACTTGATTGAGTAAAGTACACAATTCATTTATGTACATTAAAAAAAAGTTTGTTAACAATCTTAGAAATTTAAAATTTTTTTGAAGTGACCATTCTTTTGTGCTAGTTAGATATAACCCTATATCAAGTTTTTTCATAGCCACACCACATACAAAGTTTTCTCAGATGGAATTGCCTCTGAATTTTTAAATCATTATCTAGACAATTGTCTTTGTCAAACTTTCTCTTTCTGGACCTTCTAAAATTTGCCTATAACACAGAGATATTCTAATTGAAAAAATAATAAACGATGATTGAATTTTATTGTAAAAATTTCATATTAGAAGTTCTCTGAAAATTGATTGATCATTTTAAATTATGATTATAATTATCAGAAAAACTAATCTCTATTGACAAAAGCTTCACTTTGATTGAATTTTCTAGGATGTGGATCTGTTGAGCTGTACCCAATGACACAACGATCTACCAGGTAGGACATTTTTTTTTTTCTATTCCATTAATGTTAATGGAGAACTTTGAAGTTAGAATAAGTTATCTTATAAAGTTGATACATAAATAATACTTCCAATATATTAGTGTTATTTTTTTTTTATTTCTTAATGACATTTACAACTGTATTACATAAATACATCAAGTAAATATTAGTGTTATTAAATTGTTGTTAATGTTATTTAATCCAACTCAATGATTTTTTTGTTTTCACATTTATTCATTATACACTGGAAATCACTCCACAACAAGAAAATCAGGAAAACTTAATCAATTTTACTTAAAACTTTAACTTAAAATAAACAAGAAAATTTGTTTTATTTTATTTTTCCTTGAATCTCATAATATTTATTATTTATTTTATTTTCTTCTTCCCTTGCCCCTCGACAAAACAGATTTTTTATAGAAGTAGCGTAATACTTCTACCAGTTATCTTCCAGTTCTTCGGTCTTTGCTAATCACTTCGTAGAGATTGAAGTGATCATTCTCCTCTAATTCCTTCCACCTATACACAAATGCTTCGCAGTACACCAGTACCATAAATATAAATAAAAAACAACTACCCAGTTATCCTTACTTATTAGCTGAGGAAAATCGTTCTGTTATGATGTAAAATGCAGTTTCCCTCAGTAGTTTGACCCTTATTGCTTCAAAAGCGTTGCTATTCTCATAATATGAGAATCTTTAATTAACTTTTGAAGTGCCAGTGAATTAGTCCTCAAGGCTTTTTCAGCCCTCCTTCAGACGTACTATGGAACAGGGGGAATTTTAGGGATTATAGAGTAGGATTGAGATGATTTTGTGTAAAAAAAAGTAATTAGAAAAAAATATTTTGTAATTTGAATACAATTTCTATTTATCAAACAAATAGTTAGTTTACTTTAATTTTTTTACAATTGTAATTAATTAAGAAAAAAAACATTGTATGAATGAAATTTACATCAAACAGTTGCAATTCACAGAAAAAGCAATGGCAGTTCTCACGGGTGTGTAATGTTTATTACTTTGTCTTTCTTTTAGTAAAAAAAAAAAATCTTGTATGAAATAAAACTTCGAGTTAATAAAAAATACTTAAAAAGTGAGATGAAACGTAAAGATAGATTCGCTTATGAAAATTTTAGGATAAGATTGAAACAATTTTAATAATTAAAGTTTAATTAAATCATTAAAGTGGTATTGAAATGTAATTCTCATAATACCCTAAAAAGTAGCCTCCGATACTAATTTAACATTAATAAAACAATTTGAATTTTTTTTAGTATGACAAGGATGGCAAATCGCAATCTCTCTATTTACAAATATTTTTTTTAAACAAATTTTTTCTCATGATCGATATATAGGAATTGAGAGAGAGAAATACTTTATTAAAAGTAATGCTGCCCTACTACATAGGGTTGCTTCGTACACAGCATGTACATAGCACTTTAATAAAAAATATCTTATTTATTTTTCATTTTATTTCAATTTATTTGCTTACCCGTATTCATCTTTTTATTACATCTAAACTGGAGTTGATGCTCAAAACTATTTATGATAAAATAGAAATTTATACCAATGGGAATAGGATTAGGAATAATTTTCAGGCTTTATTCTAATTCATAAATAAAACCTGCTTTATTCATTTTCTTAGCTGAGTGTCATTGGGTCCTCAACACACATTTTTTGAAATATAAATAAAACCTGCTTAGAATAAAATTCTTATTCAGAATACTATAGCACTTCAATTTTATTTTAATTGCTATAAAGAATTTTGAATTTCAGCTTATTTTTTCTCAAGAAGCCTTTTTTTTTTCTCTGCTGTATCTATATTGTATTTAATTTATACTTAACTGCTTTAATTGTTTTGTCAAATTTTAGATTCAGAAACAGTTTGGATACATCTTTAACCGATCACGGAGTCGTATTGCACATGCAAAAACTGAAGTGACATCAAGCTGGGACCCAAAGAAGGGCCCCAAATGAACTCTACGATTAAAGACATTTTAAACTAATATGAATACATGTTGGTTATGTAAATATTAAATAATGTAAATATTTCACTTTGTAAAAAATAACGTTTTGCACAGTTTATATTCAAGAATTCGATATTGAAATTTACAACTTTAACCAGAAATTTAATATTTTTAATGTTGTCTTGTAACTGTTCTAAATTTATGTCATTTTATTCTATTATCAGTTGATTAAAAAGATCAAAGCATGAGCTATTAAGTAGTGTTGAGATTTATTTATTTTTAATGAGTGATTATGATGTTTGTTTTTGTAAATAATGCTTGTACACCATGTTTATGTTTTTAAAAGAAAAAAAAATTAGGTTAGTACTTCACAAGTGTTGGTTTATCATGAAGGATGGGTATAAGATCTCATGATCACACTGTACATGGAATTGCGGGAGCATCTAATTAAAACTAACTGGTATTTGCGCCTAATGGTTGAAATTCGACTATAATCATTATTGAATATTTGAGGGACACATTAATAAATTTGGATGTTTCCAAAAACTTTTTATTGATAACACTAAAGCTTGTCAATTGCTAATAAAAAAATCGATTGAGAAATTGAGTAGAAAAAAGGACTGAATGATGAATGAAAAAATAATTTTATTCCGGGACTACAGTCCCCTAAGAATAATAATAGAATTTCATAATTATGAACATTAGTCAGGCTTGGAGTATACATAATGATGCTTAATTAATTGTAAATATCATTTGCAATTACACAGTTGATTTTATTATACCGTGTACCGAAGCAAGTAGATTTTACATGCTTGCAGAAGTTTGAATATGAAGTAGTGTTGGAATAGGAGTTGTTTGAAGGAATTTGTGGATGAGGATTAACGTATGAAGATAGGTAGAGAGTTCCAAAAGGAGGTAGCATGAATTATAGATTTGAAGTAGTTTTCATGGGAGGGGATATATAAATCTGTAAGTTAAGATCTGGTATTGAAAGAGTAGATAGGGGAGGGTAAAGTAAGAAGTTCTAAGATGTAGGGAAGGTTTTGGGTTCTAAAGACCTGGAAAAAGAAAACACCAAGAAGTAATTGCCGTCGGGAAGTAGGATAAAACAACTTCAACTCAGTACACCAGCAATAAACATGAGAACACCTGAGAATGATGTATCTTATTAAGCAATTCATGATTCGCTTGTCTCATCTCCAGCCTTGCAGACAGCCCTTCGTACACCAAACAACTATAGTAAAAGTGTAGGAAAACAAGAGAGGTTACTAGGAGCTGTCTGGTTTTTAAAGGAATACAATCACGGAATCTTAGGAATTGTGTAAGGAGAGTTACGGATTTTTGGGTAATCTGGGGTGACTTAACTGTTTTGCCTTAGTCTATAATGATAAAGGCCATAATTTTAACACAAATTATGTGTGATCCCTCTCAGAAGTTTTACATAGCAATCTAAATAAAGGGAAGTGAAAAATCCATGAACACGTCAATACTCAGCCTTTCTCAGAATTCCTTAGATGGTGTGATCATGTGATCTCTAGTCCCTTTCCATCACGATACAGCAATACTTTCGAAATGGTACAAAATTTAGTATTTGTAAGTATTTAAAAATATATACTTTAAATGTTTATGAAATGGTGGCACTGTATTCAATAGGTTGTCCATTTTGATTATTGCTCAAGCACCTAATTTTTTTACAATAAATAGCTAAACTTGTATTTTTACCAACAGGTATGTCACATAAATAACTAACGATTGACACTTAGATTTGTGTTGACCCTTACATAGACAGCCTAATAGTTTGTAAACACAGTGTGACTGAATTAAATTTTAAAATGATGTTAGCAGAAAATATTCTAAACACCCTACCATTAAAATAAAAATAAAAGAAACACTACAATAATAATACATTTAAAAAGTTTCTTAAATACTTCATAAACCCTAAAAATTATTTGTAATTATTTCTAGGAAGATAAGAAATTGAATTTCTTTTATATATCATTTTTTTTTTTCAATGAAGTTTGACTGTACTTACCAATATCCTAATAACGAAATCTGTTAATGAGCAACCAATTTATTTAAAAGTGTTACCAAGATAAAATCGATTATCAAAGTGCATTTAGACATTTCATAAACAATATGAAACAAATATTTAAATGGTATTTTCCCCATGCTAGTGTTTTTATTTCTTGTTTTTGACGTTTTTCATCTGCTGTCGGTAACAAGAAAAATAAAAACAAAGTTGAGCTTAGCGCTGATGTCACTATTTGTTAAGTTACATAATTGAATTTCCCTTTGTTTATGAAATATCTAAATGGTGACCCATTAATATTTATAATAGCCAATTATAGTCTGAGAGCCTATGGCAAAAAAAGGTGTCATATTTCATACTAAGCTTTGTCCTTATAAATTGGTCATATAACTCACTTTCCATTATTATACAGCTCTTAATCTGTATATATGACAGTATATATATTATGTAAGCCAATGTATACCATGTATGTTGTCTTATATATGTCTTATATTAAGAGCTGCGTAATATAAAAAATTGCGAAAAGTAAGTTTTTCTCTTTAGTTTCCGAGTTTAATTATTTAGTTATAATTGCTTGAGCCTTTCAATAGTTTAAGAAAAGATAGCAAAGCAATATATATTATTAAAGAAAATTTAATATTTTAACAACTTTCTTTCCTTTCTCATGAATTTTTCATAAAATGAAATAATAAAGAGTTGACGAGTCAAATAATGGTAAAAATGCAACGCAAATATTTTTTTCTTCGAAATTAGGCAATTAACAGGACGGATATCACAGAAACTATAGAACATGGCAAAAAAACTAATATAGCCATTTCTATTGCTAATTTTGTCAGCTTTAATTTCACATTTGACATTATTATAGATAGAACACATAGTTTCACTGATGTCAGCAAAAATGAAGGAACTATAATGGTGTGGTAACGATAGATCTAAACTGAGATATATGATTTTATTGTATTAAAATATTTCGAGTTATAGTCTAAAACATGTATCAATTATTGAGTTTTGGTGTGGTCATTACTTATGAAATCATGCACTGTCATTACAAACTTATTATTGTAAATGTTACTTACTGGCCAATCTTATTAATTATTGCACAAACTGTAAATAATTTATATATCACTCAAACACATTATTTTATCTCTTCATAATTACTTATATCATAATCAAATTGTTAAATCAGCTGGGCTATTATAAAAAGCTTTTGTAGGTACTAGCATGTTATATCTCTGCACATGTATCACGAATATGGATTATTTAAATTTTCAATATTCATATTTATTATAATCATCACCACTTTTATGTATATTTTATAAATCATTTCAGAGATAAGATAAAGATATATAATTTTAAACTGTATAATGGTAAATCTATATATATATATATATATATATATATATATATATATATATATATATATATATATCTTATTAAACCTTTGTCTATGCCAACTACCAGAAGCAAAACATTAATTAAGAGAGTATTAATGGAAACAATGACAAATAATGAACATCCTATTTTTTGATGATGTTATTGTTATTTGCAATTTAATTATGTTTATTGCAATACATCATTTTATGGAATCGCAAATCATGGAAAAACAAGAAAAAAATACTGAGTTGTATAGTTTAGACCACATGATAGATATGAAAACATCAACAAAGTGAAATTTTTTTAAATTTCTTTATTGAGTATTATAACAATCTGTCTGTTGGACATTGGTTATAGTGAGGTAGGATGACATTCACACCAGATGTACAAAAAAAATAAAATAAATAGAACAAAATAATAATCAAAAGTATATACAATAGACAATAAAATAAAATAACCTAAAAAATAAGAAAATTAAAACTAAAAACACAATGAAATTAATAATATGAACTATATGAGAAGGAGTTGATCAGGGGGGGAGAGGGTGCGGTCAACTCCTCATATTATTTCAACAGTCAACCATCTCTACATCAGTATGAAATATAAAATAACTTCTCTCTAATAGCTCATGATAAAGAGGATGAAATCCTGAACACTTCCCTCGCTTACAATATGCAAGTCCTATTTTTAGTTTCTGACATATTTTAATCCATATCTTCCATAAAACCCATTATTATTTGGTTTTCGAAACTATTTTCCCCTTGTCATCTCTCTAACACAACGTTGCGTTAAGATACAATTTTGAATAATTGCTCATTATAGAGTGGATGAAATGCTGAACTATTCTCTTGCTTACAGTATGCAGGTCTGATTTTTAGTTTCTGAGATATTTTAATCTATATGCAAAAACATTTTAATTAGTCAACTCCAGCCGAATTTACACGAGCGTTACACATCGGGGATCCGACGGCTCAATCTAATTTACCTTCCACAAAAAACTGCAAAACGCGCCTAAAGGAGTTTTCACTTCAAAATTTACATTATGATAAATCACTGATAAAAATTACAGTTTCAAAGATTTCCTTTAAGAGTGCATATCCTGGCTTCATTCAGTGCATACCACGGAATCATTCATAAGTATTGTAACCTTGGACTGCATGTGTGAATTAATATCTATGTTGCGTTGGAATATAACATGCTTATACCATTAAGGACCAGTTGCTATAACTCAGTAAATCTCAGATTAATCATTATCCAAGATTAAACCAAGTTTTCTAAGGTCGACCGATCAAGATTAAACTTGGTTTAATCGTAGATAATGCTTAATCTAAGCTTTACTGAGTTGGAGCAACTGGCCCTAATTATCACATTTTTGTGACTGCTGATCTTAGATTATTAAGCGTAGAGTTGTTCGATGTGAGGTGTCCAATGGATTTATTGTTTTATTATTGTAAAGCTTTATTAATTAGAATTATGATAGTTTAACTCTCAGGTATAGTGTGTATATACCTCAGGTCTAGGATTAGTAAAATATATTTCTCATGTCAATATGGCTGTGAATCCTATTAGTTTTAGAATTATTTTTATTTCAGTGTAGGCTTAGTGTAATTTTTCCAAAACAGATTATTGTATATTGTTATAATTGCAACCATAATTATTGTTTCATCTTTTTTTAGACAAAACAAACAATATAAATGGTGTTATTATTTCAAAAATTTTTGTTATATGTTCAATATTCAAACCATGTGTTCATGTGATGTTTATAAGATTAATATAAATTGTGTTGTGAT